CTGAAGGCGGAGTGGGGTGCAGCTGGCGCCACATGTTCCAGAGAGGCGATTCTGGTGCTTCAGGTGCAAAGCAGGCATGCTGGGAGGGGTGCTTCGGACATCCTGCGTGCCCTTGATAGACGGTTCCAGAGCACGTAGAAAAAAGAGCTCTAGGGGTTCTCTTGAGCTCCCTCGGGGCCGTCATGCAATTTGGCGCGGCTCCCCTTGGGCGGTGAACCCTGGATGAGAAGGCACTGGATTCAAGAAGCGGGTGCAAGGGAAATTCGACGTGCTCCAGAGGGATGTGTCCGGAGCACGTTCAAATTGAGAGAACGACCGACGACGTCCTGTGCAGGGACATTCGGGGCCTGGTGCAGAGGAAATTCGACGTGCTCGGGAGAGACGTTTCTGGAGCACGTAGAAACGGGAGCTGGCGAGCCTCTTGGAGTCTCCCTGAGCCTCTTGGAGGCCTGTTAGGTCTTCTCAGGGGCGCCTCTGGGGCACCTGGGAAACTTCTGGAGCCATGTTGGGGCACAAGGCTCGGAGCCGTCTTAGAGGCCACTGAGGCCGTCTTGGGGGTGTCTTGGAGCGTCGTGGCGCTGGCGTCCTTCGGGGTCCCCTTGGGGCTCTCTTGGAGGCCTCTTGGGCCATTTTGGAGCGATGGTGGACGCCCTCTTAGGCCGTCCTGGGGCTGTTCTGGGCCGTCTTGGGGGGCTCTGGCCGTCTTTGAGCTCTCTTGGGGGTGTCTTGGGGCCCGCTTTGGGCTCTCTTGGGGGCCTCTTGGGGCCGTCCTGGGCCACCTCGGGGCTCTCTTGAACAATCTTGGGGCCCTCTGAGGCAATCTTGGGGTCCACTTCCGTCGCCTTGGGGTCCTCTCGGGGCGATTGTGTGTGCCTTTTGGGCTGTCTTGGGCCGTGGGAAGCCCGAACAGGCGAGAATTCAAAACCATTTTCAAAAACCAATGGAACATCGCTATTTTTGGCTTCCTGAGGCCCTCTCGGGGGTCCCCTTGAAGGCATCTTGGACCGTCGTGGGGGCCTTTTTCGGACCGTCTGGAGGCCATCTGAAGGCATCCTGGAACGCTCTTGGGCGGTCTAGGGCTCTCTTGGAGGGCTCTTGGGCCGTCTTGGAGCTGTCCTGGAGCTCTCCTGGGGGCAGGGGGCCCCAGAGGCAGTGCTCCCCGAGGCCCAACGCGCCCATGGCGAGTCGTGGCACCTGGCAGGGGGCCCCATTCTATATATATATATATATATGTGTGTATGTATGTATGTATGTATGTATGTATGTATGTATGTATGTACGTACGTATGTATGTATGTATGTATGTATGCATGCATGCATGTATGTATGTATGTATGAATGTATGTATGCATGTATGTATTTATGTATGTATGTATGTATATATACATACATATATATATATATATATATATGTGTGTGTGAAGGAGAGCGAGAGAGAGGGAGAAAGCGATGGCAATCGCAGGAGGAAGGAACAATATCTGAATGCGAGTGGAGCTTCAAGGAAGGAATCATGCGCAGCTGAGTCTGCGGGATCATGCGTGTGGTGGCAGGCAGGCGCAGGCGGACGGAAGCGAGAGCACTGCTGTCCCTGGGGCACGCGCTCTTGCATGGACGACGGCAGGCTTGAAGATCGCGTCAGAGAGCATCGACTGTGTCTCACATCACCTCTCGCATTCTCCTTCCCCTTTCCTTCCGCTGCACTCCCTGCTCTCTCTCTCTCTCTCTCTCTTTCTCCACTTCCCGTGGGGGAACTAAAGTGCACCGATACCCCCACATACCCCCACATACCCCCACATACCCCCACTCCCCAGACCTCGTCCCTGGGGTGCAACCTGTCCAGAATCTCGAGGAGAATCCAGCCGTGGTGACGAGGGCCCTCCAAGACGAGCAGCGGCATCGGTATCTTTTCTTCCTCCGACCTCCACTTCCCTTCGCCCAACCATTCTGCACCCTGCAACGCGCTTCAATCCTGCAGGGAGTCCGCGCACCCGCCGGCTTCAACAAGTGCGCCCATGATGTCTTGGGCGACGGCGCCGTAGCACGACTGAGCACGCGGGAGCGCAAAGTTTGTCGAGGAGGAGGAGGAGGACGACGAGTGGCTGTGCACACGTGACGCGCGGTCTGCGTGCTTTCTTCTTGGCAACTGTTCTCACGAAGCTCGTGTGCTGCTACCGACAGCCAGGAACAAATGATACACTGCGACCCACTTGCGCCTTTCATTTGTATACGCAGATATAACTAGAAACATCGCGCGCGCTCAAGTTCTAGCGCATGCCGGAGGGGGGGGGTCCACAAGCGAGTGCGGCCGCCGGATCGAAGAGCAGGAGTCATAAGCATTATCACTGTCAGGGTCAGGATCCTGATCGCCAGCGTCACCGTAACCGACGCCATTCAGGACATCGTGATCCTCATCATCATCATCATCATCATCATCATCATCATCATCATCATCATCATCACCATCATCACCATCACCATCACCATCACCATCACCCATCACCCATCACTATCACCATCACCATCACCATCACCATCACCATCACCATCACCATCACCATCACCATCACCATCACCATCACCATCACCATCACCATCACCACTACCACCACCATCATCATGATCATCATCATCATCATCATCATCGTCCTCATCCTCATCATCATCATCTTCCTCATCATCATCCTCATCCTCGTCCTCATCATCGTCATCCTCATCCTCATCCTCATCCTCCTCCTTCTCCTCCTCCTCCTCCTCATCATCATCATCATCTTAAACATCATCGTCGCAATCAGCATCAGTCATCCACGTTTTCACCACCATAATGGCCATTACCACCATAATCGTCGTCGTCATCACCTTCATCGTCGTCGTAATTATCATCAAAATCATCATCGTCTCCAGAGGGCCCTCGAGAGCAGTGATAGGTAAGTCACGCGAGCGCTATCCCGCGTGACTGAACTTGCACTTCTGTGGAAGCCCTCTGGGAGCCATCCCAGGCCGCTTTGGAAGGCCCCAAGAAGGGCTGGGAGGGTGGGTCTCCGATAGAGCTCGAGGAGGGCCCCGAAGGCCCCCAAGAGCACGGACAGGGAACTCACGCGCGCGCTCTCTCGCGTGACTGCATCATCACTGCTATTCAAGCCCCACTCCGCGGTGGACGGGCCCAAGAGGGTCTCGAATGGACCTCAGGAAGGCCCTTTCTGGGCCTGAGAGGCCTCTTGGGCCGTCTTGGGGCCCCCGGGGGCTATATTGGCACCTTCGCGGGGGTGTCTGAGGCGGTCTTGGGGCGATCCTAGGGCCTCTTGGGTCGTCTTCGGGCGTGGAGAAACCAGAAAGGCAGAATAGTGAAAATTGCAAGACATAAATCTAAGAACAGTCAACTGAACTGAATTCGTTTCTTGGGAAGCCTTCGGGACGTGCGGAGCGCCACTGTACACGATTCGGATCGTTATTGGATCGCCTTGGGAGCCTCTGGAAGCTCTCTTGGGCCGCCCGGGAACCGTCTGGGACGCCTGTGGAACGCCTCGTGTGCCGTCTTGGGGCCCCTGCGGGCTGTGTTGGCACCTTCTTGGGAGCGTCCGAGGCGGTCGTGGGGCGATCTTGGGGGCCTCTGGGACCGTTGTAGAGCGTGGAGAAGCCCGAAAGGCAGAATAGCGGGAATCCTTTAAAAACGTATGAACAAATACATGAATATTGTTTCTTGGGACCGTCATGGGAGTGTTCTTGGAGGCATCTTGGGTCGTCTTGGAAGCCTATTGGGCCGTGAGGGGCCATCCGGGGCTTGTTGAGCGCCTCTGTCAGCGATTGAAGGCGTTCTTGGAGGGTGTCGGGGGCCTCTGGGTGCGATCCTGGGCCGCCACGGGGCCGTCTGGGACGCCTCAGGGGCGCCTCGGGGGCCGTCTTGGGGCCCCCAAAAGCTGCCTTGTCACCTTTTGGGGGGCGTCCGTCGGAGGCGATGGGGGCCTCGTGGGCCGTTCTAAAGCGTGGAGAAGCCAAATCGGCAGAAATGTGATCAGCTGAGGGGCTCTCTTAAGCTGTCTTGGGCTCTCTTGGGTCCTGTTGGGGGCCTCTGCAGGCCCTCTTGGGGGCCTCGCGGAGCCTCTTGGGGGCTTCTCGGGAGCTTATAGGGCCTCTTGGCAGCCTCCTGGAAGCCTCTGGGAGGGTCTTGAGGGCATGTTGGGAGCTGCACGCTCCAAGATAGTGCCCTACGACCCTCTCTTGGAGCCTATTGGGGGTTACCTTGAGGCCCTCGGGTGGCTCTCTTGGGCTGTCTTTGGCGTTCCGCGGACCGTCTTAGGACCCTTTTGAGCCGTCTTGGGGCCCTCTGGAACCGTTTTGGGACCCCTTCAGCGCCTTTTGGGCAGTCTTGGACTCTATTGAAGCCGAAAAAGCGAGTAGGATAAAAACATCCCTTTTCCGAAAGGAATGAAACGAGTTTGGCCTCCTGGGGAGCCTCCTGGCGCTTTTTGAAGGCTTGTTGGGGCGTCTCGGAGCGGTCTTGGGGCTCTCTCCTTTTTTTTGGTTTTCTTGTTGTGAGGCAGGCGATCTCCAGTACAGACGTCATCGAGCTATGTCGGGCGGGGGCCGAGGAGAGGGGCGAGGAAGACGAGGAACGCAGGACAGAGGACGGACGAGAGAGGAGGATGGCGCGGAGCTGCTCACCGAGCAGAAGAGGGGTGCAAGGTGCAGGCTTATCACACATGCAGATGAGCCCCCCACGGACTCCTTGGTCGTCGGCGCGACCAGAAGATCAGTCGTTGGCAGAGCGCAGTGACCCCGAATCAAATGTGGGAGTCTGTTCGCGTTGGCTCTGGGCGGCGTGCGCAGCCGAGGTGTGCTGCGGCCGCCTTGTGTGCGCGCGTGCGTCTGGCCCCATGATTCAGCTGTGAATCCTACTTTGCTCCGCCTTGGCCCGAAGGGAGGGGGTCCTGAAAGAGACGGGTCCTGGGCCGGGGGTCTTCCACTGGGACCGGCCCTTCATGGCGACCGGCGCGAGGCCTCACTCAAATGCCGTGGCCAGTCCTGATCGCCTTGGCGTTGCGGGAGTCGGGGTCCCGCCAGACCTCGCAGCCCGGCAGCTGCGCCCAGCGCTTCTCCAGCACGTCCAGCTCCTTGTCGGGCGGCATCTGCGCCAGGACGTGGAGGGTCGTGCCCCTCGTCTCGTGGATGTACTGAAGGAGCGCCCAGCACATGCAGTCGTCCACCTCGCAGTCCATGAAGAACTTGTTCGGAACCCACAGGCCCTTCAAGTCTCCGGCCATGACCTTGCTGGTGAACTGGTCGATCTGCCTGGCGACGTCCAAGTCGCTGAGACCTTTAGCAGAAGCGCCAGACATGGCGAACACCAAGTTGACCACGTCCGTGAGCGCTCCTTTAGGGCCATACGCGGAGAAGGCCTTGCTGAGCCAACGATAAGCGTGCTACTCAAACGTTACAGTCTCCCCGTCCTCCTTCACGAACTGCGCTGCCCTCAGCTCGTCGGAGGCCTCCTTTGCGAAGCCGAAGTTCTCGAGCAGGTGGTCGAAATGGAGCCTCGACTCCCACCCTGCTGGCACGTGCTCCAGGACAAACGCCTGCCAGGAGGCAACGTCGGGGACCGATTTGCCATCGAGCGCCTTGAACGCTTGCACAAACCTCTCAAGCTGGTCGATGGCGCCCGCGTTCTTATCGGCGATCGCGGCGGTTTGTCGAGCGTACCTGATCATGTCGTGCACTTTCACCATCTTATCCTGGACGAAGGTGCTAAGCACGTAAGTTGGAATCACGACGCCGAGCTGTTTGGCAACGCGCAGAATCGCTTCAGTCGAAAAGATACGCATGACCGAATTGGCGATGTTTGGCCCAAAAGTGGGAACATTGAACTGTTCTACGAACGCAGGCACATCCATCTTGTTCGCGTTGTTGAAAGGCGGCATGGAGGCCTTAATCGCCAGCTGGGCCTCGGAGTACTCATGAAGCCACGCATGCCGCCTGTCAGCGTGTCCCTTGGTAAGATGCCCACTCCAGAATACCTTCACGCCGTCATCCATTTCGACAGCTTTGGCCGACCAACCGCTACCCATCTGCGCTGCCAGACCTACACCGGTGTCGATGCTCAGCCGACACGTCTTGAGCCAAAATGGCTACGGACGGTCTTGGGGCTCTCTTGGGGCGTTTGGGCGGTCTGGAGGCCATCCTGGGCGCTCTTGGAGCACTTTGGGCGGTCCAGGAGCCACGGGGGCCTCCAGGAAACCTGCCCAGAGGGAGGGGGGGCAAAACATCGCAGGGAAGTCCCGGCCCCAGGGGCTCGGGCCGGGATCTCTCATAGATGTATACTACATATGCATTATTTTGCATGTATGTATGCATGTGTATATATATACATATACATAGATAGATTCGAATGAGGCCTGATCCTCCTCCTGCTCCCAGTCCTGGTGCTGCTGCTGCTCCTCCTCCTCCTCCTCCTCCTCCGCCTCCGCCTCCGCCTCCTCCTCCTCCTCCTCCTGCTCCTTCTCCAACTCCTCCTCCTCCTCTTCCTCCGCCTCCTCCTCCTCCGCCGCCTCCGCCTCCTCCTCCTCCTCCTCCTCCTCCTCCTCCTCCTCCTCCTCCTCCTCCTCCTCCTCCTCCCTCGCACACACACACACAATTCCCATGCGAACGCGTGTGTGTGTGTGTGACTTTCCTAACTCGCTTGCCACACCAGGTCTAGTGCGCGCCAATGATGCTTATGCTGGGCGAGAGCTCCAATGCGCAAGTATGCCGAGCTGGAGGTTGGCACCGCGTGCAGCGACAAGAGCAAAGCCAGAACCGAATCCTTGTCGAGCGCTGCAAAGCATCACTGAACGACATAGCCCCTGGAGGACCAGAGAACCCGCGCGGTGCACGCGTGCTGCGTCGAGAGGAAGGGCCCGAGCCTGGGTGACGTCTGGAGGAAGGGAGGGGTGCGCAAGCAGAGGCAGAAGGGAGGAAGGGGGGAGCGAGGGGGGGACTGGCAACGATCGGGAGAAGGACTGAGGGGCGGAGAACATGTCAAGCAGAGTAAATGCAAGAGGAGTAATGGGAACGCACGTCACAATACTGCTACGAAGAATGCCAGCTGCGGACAAGCGCGAAGGCCGAGCGAAGACAGGCTGGGTGGAGCCGCGGCTTCCGGCCCTCTGGGTCAAGAAGCACCGATGTGCAGCTAGACCACCAAAGTAATGCTACATGGCGCCTTCGACCTTACACGAGGAACGACACACATCTTGGTTCCAGCTGCGCATGGAGGTGCGAGGAACGCCCGAGGAAGACCTTGTTTTGACAGCAGACCGATGGCGACGAAGGGTTAACAATCGATGACATACGCTGTCCTGCGAGTCCTGCAAAAATCGGGCCGTTCAACGTCGTGTACGGGACAAGGCCATGAAGGCAGAAACGACGCCCGAGGAAAACTTGAGGGACCCGAGAATCACCAGGCCCATTCTGGCACCGAGACAATATGTATTCCAGGGCCGTGGCTCCATTGGCGCGAGTAAAAAGAAAGGCGGAGAGCGAAGAGGGAGGCAAGAGCGGAAGCGAAAGGAAGGGGCGGAACCAAGAGGGGGCCGTGAGGAGAAGAGGGAACGGAATGCACGCGCGTCATTCCCGTGCAGAGAGGTGCCAAGTCCTGCGATGAGGCCGCGGCGTAGTGCGCAAAGGCCAGGGCTGCCCAGGCGTTGTTGCCTCGCCCATGGCGGAAACACCAACTTGCGCACGGCACGATAATGGAGAGCGGCCACGGACAACAAAGGCTATCTCAAAACCATCACACGTTATTCCCTGGACACTTATCATGGCATGCGCGCCTGTACCTTGCCCTGCAGGAAAAAGGGACGAGGAGGAGGCAGGGAGGAAGGAGGGAGAGGGCATGCCGCAGCCCGTATCCCTCCACCTTCTTCTGCTCCTCCCCCTCCTTCCCTTCTCTCACCTCCACTCCTCCTGCTGCTGCTTCTGTTGATGCCGCTCGTCCTCCTCCTCCTCCTCCTCCCCCCTCCTCCGCCTCCTGAGAGCGGACGGGGTGTCCAAGCTTCATCATGCTGCCAATGGTGCGTAAGCCCGCGCCGCCTACAGAACTCCACATTGCCCGCCATCGTGAAAAACCTAACTCTCTATTCTATTTGCACTATCCTGCTGCCTTTCAATGCTGGTGGCAACATCCCTGCGGCCTGAGTCCACGCCACCGTCTGTCACATAGGGATCCTCGTAATTGCCCCCTGCTGGTGCGTTGGCTGAATTATATGAGGAAGCCAGAAGAGTCAAAGTACTGCCAGTTGCAACACCTGCGCGAACTTCCTCCTCAAAGTCATGCCATGACCGTGCTCACTGGTCCTGCGCTGCTCAGCTCTTCCCTGGTGCTATCGTACTTCCCTGGTACCTGTTCCCAGAACCATACATCTACTCTGAATCACATTCCTAGGTGCGATCGAGTCTACGCGTGCCTAGCATGCTACGGTTAGGAATTAGTCCCCATCACACCTCACAGCTCTTGAACTCGGCATATCGTTCCTGTCTTGTCGGCACCGGCATCCTGCGATTACTTCAAGTACCGAGCGTTTCTCTTCGAAGTTGAAAACGTTTCCCTTATTTGGCTGTTGCATCCAGCGTGCTGCTGCGTGCGCTATCAAGACGCATTCACTAAATACTTCCGATCACAAGTGCCTATCTCATCCCCCCTGTGAGGTGCAATCGGAATCCAACTGAACATGGCTGATATGTGAAAACTGTCATGTCATACCCAACACTCGTGACATACAGAATGTCAACAGGCTGCTTCTCGCGCATCGTACCTTGAGCTGGATTGCACTCATCTGCGCTCCTTCCCCTCTTCCCTGTCTGACAACGGCCTACAGAAGCCATTCCTGCGATCATGGGTGCCGCCAGTGACGCCTTCCTACTGCTGCTCACTCTACCGAATGAGAACCTGTGTACTGCGTCTTGGTGGTCGCAGGCTTCATATTGCTGAGGCTGGCGGGGTACAAAATCTTGAGCAGACTGTCCAAAATGTCTTTGGCCTTAGCGGGTGACAACCAAGCTAGAACGACGCCACCAAGCGTATTATGGGCCAAGTCGCACAATGCCATTCAACAGCCGAGCGCGACTGGAAGTCCAATGAACGAACCTATGTCCAATCGCTCTCATGCCGAATCGCTTCCCATCCATGCCCCCACTGTCACAAGCGGTCCTTGAGGTGCGGCCTCCTCCAGTGAGCCTGGTTTTGCTAGTTCTGCGAAGATTGGGCTACGGAGACGTCTGGAATCCAAGTCCGATGGCAACTTGTATGAAGCGGGAATAATGGCTCACGCGGGCCGTACGTCATGGCTTGTCCAGCGCCGCTGCTTAAGGCAGTCGCAATATATACGCGCAGTATACCTCTCCGCTGCCACCTCCGTCTGCATCTGAAGCCAGCGGTGTGCACAATCTTTGGGCTTCAGAGGTGCCAGCAATCAATGCAACTCTTATGCTCCCTGGGTGGCCACCATCATGGGGTTGAGTGGCGCCTCGACCAAGATGGCGATGCATCATCGAGGACTTAAGATGCGACTCGGGTAACCAACACAATAAGTGTGCAACATTCAGAGCATGCGCACGCGGTGTACGGCGGGTCGCGATTTGCTATGGACGCCTTGGCCGCAAGCCTCTGAGCTGTTCAAGGTATCAAGGCGCAGCTGGCTTATTGCGGGGGGGGGGCGGGGGAAGAGACGACCTTGCTAAAACGGTGATGCAGAAAGGAAACAAACGATGTTGGATACTCGCGCTCCCTGCGTCACGACGAGAAGCCAAACGCATCCAGCCGTGTAGGACGAGAACAAGCGACACAGACACTACGAACGTCTACAGAGAGGCACGAAGACAGATTCAGAGGCAGAGGCGAAGAGATGCACGAGGGGGGAAACATGAGATGCAGAGATAGAGGGAAGAAATGAACGACATAGAGGGGTCGAGAGACACCAGAAGGGATAGTGAGAGAAAAGCAGAGGCAGAGCGTGCGCGGGAGAAGCAGTACGAGAAAGAGAAAGAGAGCGAGAGAGAAAGAAATAAAGAACTGACCTTGTCTAAGCTGCCCCGCTTGGTGTAGTACAAAGCAGCTAATGCGCTGTCGTACGTGTCGTGCCTGCACTTTGCAGGGCCTCACCCCCGAGCCGAGGACCGAGTCCGCCCCCCCCCCCGCTGGCAATGCCGTGTCTTGGTTCGCTCCCAGCGGGTCTCTCGCGCTCCCTTCCTCGATTCCCCCTGCCCCGTCCCCGCACCTTGCCCACCCATTCCCCCCCACCCCCCATCAAAGTCAACAAACCTCGCGCATCGCGCCCCGCGATGCGCGGTTACCTTCGCACCCGCCGCCGCCTTGGAGACGGGCGCCTCTCCAACCCAAGGCCGCGACGCGCGAAACGCGATGATCATCGTGCCCCTGTTCGTGACCTGGTCTTTCTCCCTGCTGCAACACTGCTCGCAAGCAACAAACATTTACCCTGATACGTGGCGCTCCATGCTTAAGGGTCAACGATACGGGGGAACTGGCTTCGGGGGAGAAGCGTCGAGCTGGAATCGGCGATACATCGCCGATAGGTCGGCGATAGGCCTCCGGTAGCAAAACCGCACGCTCCTGGGCGGGGCGGGCTATCGGGACCCTATCGGCGATGGTTGCGCGATTTGGGGCCGATGCGTTGCCCCTTGGGCCGGGCCCCTTAGCCGATCCCCAACCCTGGCGTTGCCCCGATCGCCGTCAAATCAGCGTGACACAAGTCGGGTCTGCGGCGGCCGTTCGGGACGATCCAGGCACCCCCGGAACGCTCTCGGCGAGGCGCAGCTACTGGAAGGCATCCCGAGGCTGGAAAACCCCCGAGCACATTCGAAAACGTTGGAAAATCTCGAACCTCGAACCCCTCGGCCTGTCCCCCCTCACGTCGCCCCTGATTTTACATTGAGGTGTGGCGCTAAGGCGGCGCTGGGCAATAGTGGCCCTTGGTGCGCGGCTTTTTGGGGGCGCAAGGGGGCCAAGCCCAAGCACGCAAGCCGCTGCTATCGCATCGCCCCAGCGGTTGAGCCACGAAACCCGGAAACGCCA